TAAATACAGCAGCTTGTTAGAGCAGCACTACCACTACATACAGCAGCTTGTTAGAGCAGCAATCCTCTACATACAGCAGCTTGTTTAGAGCAGCAAATACCACTACATAAAGCAAGCTGTTTAGAGCAGCACTCCACTATCATACAGAAGATTGTTTAGAGCAGCACTTTTTTTTACCACACATACAGCAGCTTGTTTAGAGCTGTTATTTTTGCACACACTCCATACAGCCAGCTTGGTAGAGCAGCACTACCACTACATACAGCAGGCTGTTTTAGGCAGCACTACAAACTACATACAGCAGCTTGTTTAGAGCAGCACTACCATACCACTACAGCACAGGCAGCTTGTTTAGAGCAGCACTACCACTACATACGAGTTGTTAGAGCAGCAACTACCACTACATACAGAAGCTTGTGTAGAGAAGCATACACTACATACAGCAGCTTGTTTAGAGCAAGCACTACACTACTACAGCAGCGTGTTTAGAGCACCACTACCACTACATACAGCAGCTGTTTAGAGCAGCCACTACCATACATTACGGCAGCTTGGGTTTAGGAGCAGCACTACCACTCCATACAGCAGCTTGTTTAGAGCAGAACTCCCATACATACAGCAGCTATGTTTGAGAGCATACCAACTACATACAGCAGCTTGGTCTTGTTTAGAAGCAGCACTACCAATACATAAGCAAAGCTTGTTTAGAGCAGCACTACCACTACCATACATACAGCAGGCCGGTTTAGAGCAGCACTACCATACATACATTTTTGCTAGCTGTTGGTTAGAGCAGCCTACTACTACCACTACATACAGCAGCTTGTTTTATGAGCAGACTAACACTACCTACAGCAGCTTGTTTTAGAGCCGCACTAACATCTACATACTCTGTCAGGGTGTGGTGTTTAGTGAGTCAGCACTAACATACTATTTACGATTGTTTACATTTGCTTGTTTGTAGAGCGCTACTACCACTACATACAGCCAGCTTGTTTTTAGAGCAAGCACTACCACTACAATACAGCAGCTTGCTTAGAGCTAGAGCAGACATACCACTACGTTAGGAGTTTCGGAGCTTCGTTTTTAGAGCAGCACTACCTATGTTCTCTAATAGTGGAGACTTTGTTGGTTTAGAGCGCACTAACTACTTACACACTACATACAGCTAGATTGTTATAGAGCTGAGCCACTTGACTAATGACTACAGACAGCAGCTGGGTTTAGAGCAGCACTACACTACCAGTACCGCAGCCTGTTGTTATAGACACACTACCACTACATACAGAGCTGTTTGAGCACATACCCTACATACAGCAGCTGGTTTAGAGCAGCACTACCACTACACTACATACAGCAGCTATGTTAGACAGCGACTACCACTACATGACAGCGCTTGTATCAGAGCCCAGCAACTTACCACTACATACAGCAGTTGTTTAGAGCAGCACTACCTCTAGCATACAGCAGCATGCTTAGGATGGCAGGCACATAGTCCACGAAAATACAGCAGCTGGTTTAGAGCAGCACTACACTAATAGCAGCAGCTTGTTAATAGAGCAGCCACTAGGCCACACATACAGCAGCTTAGTTTAGAGCAGACACTACCTCTACATACAGCAGCTTTTTAGAGCAGAGCACTACATACATACAGCAAGCTTGTTTAGAGCGCATACCACTACATACAGCAGTTCGTTAGAGCATGCACTACCCACTACATCAGCAGGCTTTCGTTTAGCAGCAGCAATACACACTACATACACAGCTTGTTAGAGACGAGCACTGGACCATATAACGATTACAGACACAGACTTGTTTGAAGCAGCAGCACAACCAAAGAAGTACAGCAGCTGTTATAGGAGCAAGACACTACCACTACCACTACATACAGCAGCTATGTTGTAGAGCAGGGCACATAGCACACTTAACATAACGCAGCTAGTTACATAGCGCAGCACGTCCACTACATACAGCATGCTTGTTGAGCAGCACTACCATACAATACGTAGGCAGCTTGTATGAGAAGAAGCACATACCACTAAACATACAGCAGCACTTGTTGATAAGAGCAGACCATACCACTACATCCAGCAAGACTAGTCGAGAAGCAAGCACTGACAACCAAATACACTAGCGATACAGACAGCCCTGGTATAGAGCAGCCGACTTACACCACGTACAGAACAGGCGAGCCAACTATATGTGTATAAGGAGCCAGCAGCAAGAGCACTACATACATACAGCTTAGTTATTAAGAAGCAGCAACACTACCAACTACATAAGCAGCTTGTAGAAGACAGCGAAACTACCACATACACTACAGCCAGCTTGTTTGGCCAGCACTACACTACATACAGCAGACTGTTATAGAAGCAGCACTACACACTACAGACAGAAGCTTGTTTGCGAGCCAGCAGTACACTACCACTACCATAAGCAGCTTGTTTAGGCAGCACATACAGCTACAGTACAGCAGTGTTTAGAGAACAGCAACTACACTACCGAATACAATTTAAGCAGACTTGCTTCTAGAGACAGCGTATACCAATACAGTACAGCAGCATTGTATTATTTTTTTGGCAGCACTTACCACTACGCAAACATAACAGCAGCTGGTTCTAGAGCGCACTACACTACACATACATTACAGCAGCTTGTTTTAGAGCAGCACTACACACATACAGCAGCATTGGTTTAGAGGCAGCATACCACTACAGTACCGACAAAGCTGTCATTTAGAGCAGCAACTACCACTACAATACAGCAGCTGGTATTAGAGAAGCACTACCACTACAGTACAGCACAGCTTTAGTTTCAGAGCCGATCGCCACTACCACTAACATACAGCAAGCTGTTTAGAGCAGCACACCACTAAATACAGCAGCTGTTTAAGAGCAGCATACACTCCACTACATACAGACAGCCTGTTGTAGAGCCAGCACTACCTACCTACAGCAGCTTGTTTAGAGCAGCAATACTACTACACTACATAAGCAGCTTGTTTCGAGCAGCACTACCAAATAATACAGCAGCTTGTTAGAGCAGCACTACCACTACATACAGCAAGCTTGTTAGAGCAGCCACTTTACCACTACATACAAGCAGCTTGTTTAGACAGCACTACCACTACATACAGCAGCTTGTTTAGAGCAGCCACTACTACTAACACTACATACAGCAGCCTTGTTTAGAGCAGCATACCACTACATACCGCAGCTGTTTAGAGCAGCACTCATAATACAGCAGTGGTTAGAGCAGCACTCCATACATACAGAGTTGTTTAGAGCAGAACTTACAACTACAGAAAGGCAGATTGTTTTAGAGCAGAGAACTACACTACATACAGCAGCTTGTTATAGAAAGCAGCACTACTACTACATACAGCAGCTGTTTAGAGCAGACGACCACTACATACAGAGCTTGATTGTAGAGCCAGCACTACACTACATACAGAAGCTTGTTTAGACAGAACTACGCACTACATACAGCAGAAATTGGTTAGGGAGCAGAAACTACCCACTACATCAGCAGCTTGTTTCGAGCAGCAACTACTACTAAGACAGCAGCTTGTTTAGAGCAGCACTACCGCACTACATGTAAAGCGATGCAACTTGTATATAAGAGCAGAACTACCACTACAATACAGGCGAGCATATTGTTAGGAGCAGAAATACCACTACATAAAGCAGCTTGTTTAGAGCAGCAACATACCCTACAATACAGCAGCTTGTAATGAGCAGCAGCGAATACACTACATACGAGCAAGCTGTTTGTCAGAGCAGCAAGACTAACCATACATACAGCAAGCTAAGAAAATTTAGAAGAAGCGCTACCAACATACAGCAGTTCGCATTTAGAGCCGAGCACTACCGACTTTTTACCATACATACAGTAGCTTGTTAGCGCAAGCCACTACCACTACATACAGCAGACTTGTTAGAGCAGCGCACTAACCACTACATAAAGCAGCTGTTCTAGAGCAGCACTTTACACTAACAGTGACAGACAGCCTGGTTTAGAGCCGCACACCACTACATAAAGAGTTGTGTAGAAGCAGACAGCTAAGCAGCTCATACATGGTCAGCTGTTTAGAGCAGCAATACCACTAAATACAGCAGCTTGTTAGAAGCCAGCAATTACTACGACACTACATACAGACTAGACTGTATAGTTAGCAGAAGCACTACCACTACATACTAGCAGCTGTGTTTAGAGCCAGCAAACATAACCACTACATACAGAGCTTGTATTAAGAGCAAGCACTACACTACGACTAATACAGCAGCTTGCCTTAGCGAGCAAGCACTGACCACTTACATACCAGCAGCTTGTTTAGAGCAGCACTACCAATACATACAGCAGTTGTTTAGAGCAGCACTACCACAATACATGACAGCAGGCTTGTTAGAGCAAGCCCACTACATAATACAGCAGCCTTGTTTAGAGCAGCACTACCACTACATACAGCAGCTGTTAGAAGCAGCACTACCCAACTACATACAGCAGCTTGTTTAAGGAGCCAGCACTACACTAACCTACCTTACGCAGCTTGTTTAAGAGCCGTCGCACTACCACTACATACAGCAGCTTGTTTCAGGATATGCTCGGCTGGAGGTCAATTACATTTTATTAAATATTGCACCAACAAACACAGAAACACACTGTTTAAATCTTTTAATACAGCCTTTTCAGTGGAAACATGAGAAGTTTAAATGACATCCTGTTTAGTTTTTTTGGATGTTTTGATGTCCTGTAAATGAATACAACTAGTTTCAGGCCAGAGAAGAAGAGTATCTCTAGAGTAGCTACCCAACTACCTCTACTACTCTAGCCACACTCTAGTGGTCACTTATAGCAACTGCATTTGATTACAAACTGACCATTTCCTTCCTCCTGGAAATGGGTCAAGATGTGATATTGGAAAATTACTTGGTAGAGCGCTTGCAATGCCAGGATTCGCACGGGGGACCAGTACGAAAAAGTATCCACTCACTACTGTAAGTCGCTCTGGATAAGAGCTTCTGTTAAATGACTAAAATCTCAAATATAAACGTGAAGAACACTTTAGCAAAGTAACTTTATTACCAGTTGACTAAGTTTGTTACATGTAAGCAGTGGGTTCACCATATTCATCTAACGAAAGACTTCAGTAGAATGATGCCATCTCTTTTGAAGCTATGAATATCCATATGATAATGTCCAATAGTATTAGTCAACCTCTAACGTAGGTGAGGTGATGTAGGGAGTTGTAGTCCAGTGGGGGTTGTAGTCCAGTGGGGGTTGTAGTCCAGTGGGGGTTGTAGTCCAGTGGGGGTTGTAGTCTAGTAATCAACCTTCCCAGCAGCGGACATGATGACCAGTACACCGAAGGCTTGTAGGTCATGAAGTCCAGATGATGTTTAGTCATCTCCTCCACACAGAGCTAGCATGGCCTTCTGGTAATCCCCCTTAGTGTGCTCCTGGAGAGGAGAGAGGCACAGGGTCATGGTGGGGTCATGGGGGGCAGAGACATCAGGATTAGGGCCTAGCAGACATGTGGAAGATTGCGTACTCTCTCTCCTTCTCAAAACCCATTGGAGGAGAAGGTCAGAGGGGAGGGACCTCTGGCTTTCTCCTCCAATGGGGTTTGTAGAAGGAGAGAGGATGTGAGGAGGTGGTACGGTAGGGTGGAGTGATATAGTGAGGTGCTAGGGTGCAGTGGTATTGATGTGGTCTGTGTTAGTGTGGGGAGGTGCTAGGGTGTAGTGGTATTGATGTGGTCTATGTTAGTGTGGGGAGGTGCTAGGGTGTAGTGGTATTGATGTGGTCTATGTTAGTGTGGGGAGGTGCTAGGTGTAGTGCTATTGATGGGTGTATGTTAGTGTGGGGGTGCTAGGGTGGGAGTGGTATTGATGTGGTGTATGTTAGTGTGGGAGGTGCTAGGGTGCAGTGGTATTGATGTGGTCTATGTTAGTGTGGGGAGGTGCTAGGGTGTAGTGGTATTGATGTGGTGTGTGTTAGTGTGGGGAGGTGCTAGGGTGTAGTGGTATTGATGTGGTCTATGTTAGTGTGGGGAGGTGCTAGGGTGCAGTGGTATTGATGTGGTCTATGTTAGTGTGGGGAGGTGCTAGGGTGTAGTGGTATTGATGTGGTGTATGTTAGTGTGGGGAGGTGCTAGGGTGTAGTGGTATTGATGTGGTCTATGTTAGTGTGGGGAGGTGCTAGGGTGTAGTGGTATTGATGTGGTGTATTTTAGTGTGGGGAGGTGCTAGGGTTAGTGGATGATGTGTGTATGTTAGTGGGGAGGTGCTAGGTGAGTGGTCTGATTGTGTATGTTGTGTGGGGAGGTGCTAGGTGCTAGGTATTGATGTGGTCTATGTTAGTGTGGGGAGGTGCTAGGGTGTAGTGGTATGATGTGGTCTATGTTAGTGTGGGGAGGTGCTAGGGTGTAGTGGTATTGATGTGGTCTGTGTTAGTGTGGGGAGGTGCTAGGGTGTAGTGGTATTGATGGGGTCTAGTTAGTGTGGGGAGGTGCTAGGGTGTAGTGTATTGATGTGGTCTATGTTAGTGTGGGGAGGTGCTAGGGTGTAGTGGTTTTGATGTGTTATGTTAGTGTGGGGAGGTGCTAGGGTGTAGTGGTATTGATGTGGTCTATGTTAGTGTGGGGAGGGGGCTAGGGTGTTAGTGGTATTGATGTGGTGTATGTTAGTGTGGGGAGGTGCTAGGGTTGTAGTGGTATTGATGTGGTCTTGTTAGTGTGGGGAGGTGCTAGGGTGTTTGTTGTGTTTGTGGGGGTTGGTTTTGGATGGTGGTGTATTATTGTAGTGTAGTACTCACAGTGATGGTCTGGGACAGAGACTTGCCGGTCTGACTCTTGAACTCTGTTCTGATCTTCATGAGGTCGACTTCACAGCGAGACACCATGATCCTCGTCACCACCTTCTCCTTCGCACTTTTACCCTGCAGATTATAAATATACAGCTTATTATCAACCTGCAGATTATAAATATACACTACCGGTCAAAAGTTTTAGAACACCTACTCATTCAACGGTTTTTCTTTATTTTTACTATTTTCTACATTGTAGAATAATAGTGAAGACATCAACACTATGAAATAACACATATGGAATCATGTAGTAACCAAAGAAGTGTTAAACAAATCAAAATATATTTTATATTTGAAATTCTTCAAATAGCCACCCTTTCCCTTGATGACAGCTTTGCACACGCTAGGCATTCTCTCAACCAGCTTCATGAGGTAGTCACCTGGAATGCTTTTCAGTTAACTGGTCTGCCTTGTTAAAAGTTAATTTGTGGTATTCCTTTCCTTCTTAATACATGGGGGGGGGGGGGTTATACAGAAGATAGTCCTATTTGATAAAAGACTCAGAAATTGCAGCCCAAATAAATGCTTCACAGAGTTCAAGTAACAGACACATATCAATATCAACTGTTCATAGGAGACTGCGTGAATCAGGCCTTCATGGTCAAATTGCTGCAAAGAAACCACTACTAAAGGACACCAATAATAAGAAGAGACTTGCTTGGGCCAAGAAACACGAGCAATGGACGTTAGACCGGTGGATATTTGTACTTTGTCCAAATTTGAGATTTTTGGTTCCAACCGCAGTGTCTTTGTGAGACGCGGTGTGGGTGAACGGATGATCTCCGCATGTATATTTCCCACCGTAAAGCATGGAGGAGGAGGTGTTATGGTATGGGGGTGCTTTGCTGGTGACACTGTCTGTGATTTATTTAGAATTCAAGGCACACTTAAACAGCATTCTGCAGCGATACGCCATCCCATCTGGTTTGGGCTTAGTGGGACTATCATTTGTTTTTCAACAGGACAATTACCCAACACATCTCCAGGCTGTGTAAGGGCTATTTTACCAAGAAGGAGAGTGTTGGAGTGCTGCATTAGATGACCTGGCCTCCACAGTCCCCCGACCTCAACCCAATTGAGATGGTTTGGGATGAGTTGGATCGCAGAGTGAAGGAAAAGCAGCCAACAAATGCTCAGCATATGTGGGAACTCCTTCAAGACTGTTGGAAAAGCATTCCAGGTGAAGGTTGAGAGAATGCCAAGAGTGTGCAAAGCTGTCACCAAGGCAAAGGGTGACTATTTGAAGAATCTCAAATATACAATTTTTTGGTTACTACATTATTCCATATGTGTTGTTTCATAGTTTTGATGTCTTCCCTGTTATTCTACAATGTAGAAAATAAAAGGAAAACCCTTGAATGAGTAGGTGGTGTAAAACCTTTGACCGGTAGTGTACATCATATTATCACCCTGCAGATTATAAATAGACATTAAATGATCACCTTGCAGATTCTAAATATACATCATATTAACACCACCTTCTCCAAAGCCCCTTTACTCTGGACAGGAGAGACACACAGTATGTAGGCTAGCAGTAGGAGTAGCAGCTAGCAGTAGGAGTGTACCTAGCAGTAGGAGTAGCAGCTAGCAGTAGGAGTAGCAGCTAGCAGTAGGAATAGCAGCTAGCAGTAGGAGTAGCAGCTAGCAGTAGGAGTAGCAGCTAGCAGTAGGAGTAGCAGCTAGCAGGATAGCAGGAGTAGCAGCTAGCAGTAGGAGTAGCAGCAGTAGGAGTAGCAGCTAGCAGTAGGAGTAGCAGCTAGCAAGTAGGAAGTAGCAGCTAGCGTAGAGTAGCGCAGGATAGCAGCTAGCAGTAGGAAATAGCAGCTAGCAGTAGGAGTAGCAGCTAGCAGTAGGAGCTAGCAAGGATAGCAGTAGCAGTAGGAATAACAGCTAGCAGTAGGAAGTAGCAGCTAGCAGTAGGAGTAGCAGCTAGCAGTAGGAGTAGCAGCTAGCAGTAGGAGTAGCAGCTAGCAGTAGGAATAGCAGCTAGCAGTAGGAGTAGCAGCTAGCAGTAGGAGTAGCAGCTAGCAGTAGGAGTAGCAGCTAGCAGTAGGAATAGCAGCTAGCAGTAGGAAGTAGCAGCTAGCAGTAGGAGTAGCAGCTAGCAGTAGGAATAGCAGTACTCTGCACATTAAGCAATCTGAACTTCTCAGCGCTACATGATGCAACGTGGTGTAAACTGCTGCTATCCGCTGCTGCTATCTGCTGTATTCAGAGACATGTTGTACTGTTTCTACATCTGTTCCCCAAGTCCCAAATAACTAGAATAGTAAAGAACCAGGAATATATACTGTATATGTTTTATTAATTACCTTCATGGCCTCTGCGAGTCTGTTGGCAAAGTACAGCGGCTTGTTCTCAAAACACTCAACTGGGACACAGAGACAGAGGAACTGTCAGATAACCTGCTACAGTAGTTTGGCTGTTGATTTATGGAGTTATAATCTAGTTGAATCAGTAATGGTAGATTTAAAGCACATGTCAAACTCATTCCACAGAGTGCCGAGTATCTTCAGGTTCTCTCGCCACCCTTGTCCTTGATTGATGAATTGAGGTCGCGAATTAGTAAGGAACTCCCCTCACCTGGCTTTCCACGTCTTAATTGAAAGGACAAACCAAAAACCTGCAGACACTCGGTCCTCCGTGGCATAAGTTTGACACCCCTGGTTTAAAGTAATGACTTACCAAGTGTGAGGAAGGACTTCTCCAGGTCTCCCTTCACCTCCTTCCTGATGCTCTCCTGCATGTCATATGGACTGTAGCTCTTATACCTGTCAAACACTGGAGCAGACATCACACAGTCAGACTGCCAGATCCCTGTCAAACACCTTGGGAGGACAGGGATCTGTTAACATCCACAGAGACAGAACACCTCGGGAGGACAGGGATCTGTTAACATCCACAGAGACAGAACACCTCGGGAGGACAGGGATCTGTTAACATCCACAGAGACAGAACACCTCGGGAGGACAGGGATCTGTTAAATCCACAGAGACAGAACCCTCGGGAGGACAGGGATCTGTTAACATCCACAGAGACAGAACACCTCGGGAGGACAGGGATCTGTTAACATCCACAGAGACAGAACACCTTGGGAGGACAGGGATCTGTTAACATCCACAGAGACAGAACACCTCGGGAGGACAGGGATCTGTTAACATCCACAGAACAGAAACCTCGGGAGGACAGGATCTGTTAACATCCACAGAGACAGAACACCTCGGGAGGACAGGGATCTGTTAACATCCACAGAGACAGAACATGCTCATACTGATGCTATGTACTATTCATATGAGTTCGGTTCATGTAGCTGGTATATGCTTATAGTCTCTGTTAGTCAGTCTGCCAGGTATGTACCTTTCTGCCGGTGTTAGTCTGTCTGCCAGGTATGTACCTTTCTGCCGGTGTTAGTCTGTCTGCCAGGTATGTACCTTTCTGCCGGTGTTAGTCTGTCTGCCAGGTATGTACCTTTCTGCAGGTGTTAGTCTGTCTGTCAGGTATGTACCTTTCTGCAGGTGTTAGTCAGTCTGCCAGGTATGTACCTTTCTGCCGGTGTTAGTCTGTCAGGTATGTACCTTTCTGCCGGTGTTAGTCAGTCTGCCAGGTATGTACCTTTCTGCCGGTGTTAGTCAGTCTGTCAGGTATGTACCTTTCTGCCGGTGTTAGTCAGTCTGTCAGGTATTTACCTTTCTGCCGGTGTTAGTCAGTCTGTCAGGTATTTACCTTTCTGCAGGTGTTAGTCAGTCTGCCAGGTATGTACCTTTCTGCCGGTGTTAGTCAGTCTGTCAGGTATGTACCTTTCTGCAGGTGTTAGTCAGTCTGTCAGGTATTTACCTTTCTGCCGGTGTTAGTCAGTCTGCCAGGTATGTACCTTTCTGCCGGTGTTAGTCAGTCTGCCAGGTATGTACCTTTCTGCCGGTGTTAGTCTGTCAGGTATGTACCTTTCTTTCTCTGCCGGGTGTTAGTCAGTCTGCCAGGTATGTACCTTTCTGCAGGTGTTAGTCAGTCTGTCAGGTATGTACCTTTCTGCCGGTGTTAGTCAGTCTGCCAGGTATGTACCTTTCTGCAGGTGTTAGTCTGTCTGCCAGGTATGTACCTTTCTGCCGGTGTTAGTCTGTCTGCCAGGTATGTACCTTTCTGCAGGTGTTAGTCTGTCTGTCAGGTATGTACCTTTCTGCCGGTGTTAGTCAGTCTGCCAGGTATGTACCTTTCTGCAGGTGTTAGTCAGTCTGCCAGGTATGTACCTTTCTGCAGGTGTTAGTCAGTCTGCAGGTATGTACCTTTCTGCAGGTGTTAGTCAGTCTGCCAGGTATGTACCTTTCTGCCGGTGTTAGTCAGTCTGCCAGGTATGTACCTTTCTGCCGGTGTTAGTCAGTCTGCCAGGTATGTACCTTTCTGCCGGTGTTAGTCAGTCTGCCAGGTATGTACCTTTCTGCCGGTGTTAGTCAGTCTGCCAGGTATGTACCTTTCTGCCGGTGTTAGTCAGTCTGCCAGGTATGTACCTTTCTGCCGGTGTTGTCAGTCTGTCAGGTATGTACCTTTCTGCCGGTTTTAGTCAGTCTGCCAGGTATGTACCTTTCTGCAGGTGTTAGTCAGTCTGCCAGGTATGTACCTTTCTGCAGGTGTTAGTCAGTCTGTCAGGTATGTTACCTTTCTGCCGGTGTTAGTCAGTCTGTCAGGTATGTACCTTTCTGCCGGTGTTAGTCAGTCTGTCAGGTATGTACCTTTCTGCCGGTGTTAGTCAGTCTGCCAGGTATGTACCTTTCTGCCGGTGTTAGTCGTCTGTCAGGTATGTACCTTTCTGCCGGTGTTAGTCAGTCTGTCAGGTATTACCTTTCTGCCGGTGTTAGTCAGTCTGCCAGGTATGTACCTTTCTGCCGGTGTTAGTCAGTCTGTCAGGTATTTACCTTTCTGCCGGTGTTAGTCAGTCTGTCAGGTATTTACCTTTCTGCCGGTGTTAGTCAGTCTGCCAGGTATGTACCTTTCTGCAGGTGTTAGTCAGTCTGCCAGGTATGTACCTTTCTGCAGGTGTTAGTCAGTCTGCCAGGTATGTACCTTTCTGCCGGTGTTAGTCAGTCTGCCAGGTATGTACCTTTCTTCTGCCGGTGTTAGTCAGTCTGCCAGGTATGTACCTTTCTGCCGGGGTTAGTCAGTCTGCCAGGTATGTACCTTTCTGCCGGTGTTAGTCAGTCTGCCAGGTATTACCTTTCTGCCGGTGTTAGTCAGTCTGCCAGGTATGTACCTTTCTGCAGGTGGGGAACACTCCTCTCTGACATGATGGAGATCCAGGTGGCCACATCCGTTCCTTTCCTCTTCACTCCAGCATCATACAGGGCCTGGGAAGAACACATATATATGATGGCCGTACTAATAACTTTAAACATAAGAGGCCTGGAGCGATAACATACATACCATTTATATATACAGTATGTAAATGGATTTACACCAATAAACATACAGGGCCTGTGCGGTATCATACTAGACACCATTATGTAAAACTTCTATTGTAGTGAACCTTTACTCAACTCAAACAGCTGGGCTTATTCATTTATAGATGTTTAGATATGGTTGATGTAGCCATAGTGACAGAGATATTGGTTCTTACTCTGGCATCTTCATCTATCTTCTCATAGTCCACCACACTGGAGGGTTCTGCCCTCTTGGCCTGGCAACAGATCAGAATACAACAGGATCAATGAAATACAGCGTGTAACTGTATCAAATCAATTACAGACAAGTTACTGTCAGGGTTAGGGTCATACCTGGACCAGGGTTAGTTACGGTCATACCTGGATCAGGGTTAGTTAGGGTCATACCTCCACCGGGGTTAGTTAGGGTCATACCTCCACCGGGTTATTTAGGGTCATACCGGGCCCCCGGTTTTTAGGTATCCGGGGCCCGGGTTAGTTGGGTCATCCTGGACCGGGGTTAGTTGGGGTCATCCTGGAGGGGGTTTGTTGGGGTCAACCTGGACCGGGGTATTAGGGTCTCCCTCCCCAGGGTTAGGGTTTTTAGGGTCATCCTGGCCGGGGGTTTTTAGGGTCTACCTGGCCGGGGGTTTTATTTTGGGTCAACCTCCACCGGGGGTTTGTTAGGGTCATCCCCTCCACCGGGTTAGTTGGGGCATACCTCCCCCCGGGGTTAGTTAGGGTCTCCGGGACCGGGTTTTTTAGTTAGGGTAAACCTGGCCCGGGGGTTTTAGTTAGGGGTCATACCTGGAGGGGGGGATTGGGGTCAACCTGGCCGGGTTATTTGGGGGTCATCCCGGGGCCCGGGGGGTTTTTAGGGTCGGGTCATACCTGGCCCGGGGTTTTGGTTGGGGTCGGGGGTCTACCGGGACCGGGTTGTTGGGGGTCATACCTGGCCGGGGGTTAGTTAGGGTCATACCTGGCCGGGGGTTGTTAGGTATATGACCGGGGTTTAGTTAGGGTAACCCGGCCGGGTTTTAGTTGGGTCATCCCTGGACCGGGGTTAGTTAGGCATCCTGGACCGGGGTTATTTAGGGTCATCCTGGAGGGGTTAGTTTTTGGGGTATACCTGGACCGGGGTTATTTTTAGGGTCATACCTGGCCGGGGGTTAGTTAGGGTCTACCTGCCCGGGGTTAGTTAGGGTCAGGGTCTCCGGACCCGGGGTTTTATTAGGGTAGGGTCCGTTTACTGGACCGGGTGTTATTAGTCATACCGGGGACCGGGGTTATTTAGGGCTACTGACCGGGGTTGAGTTAGGGTCATCCTGGACGGGTTAGTTAGGTATACTGCCGGTTGTTGGGTCATCCTGGACCGGGGTTAGTTAGGCATCCTGCGGGGTTAGTAGGGTCATATGGCTTAGTTAGGTCATATGGACCTTGCAGGTGTTAGGTTCAGTATGGACCTGGCGGTTTAGTAGTCGTCAGGTTGTACCTTTGCCGGGGTTAGTCAGTCTCCAGGTAGGTCTTTACTGCCGGGGTTAGTTAGGTCTCCAGGTGACCTTGGGTAGAGGGACATCCTGAACCGGGGTATCAGTTAGGTCATGGCCTGGAGACATATTATATTGCCGTATAACTTAAACATACGAGGACCTTGTAGGCATAACTGACATACCATTATATATGACCGTAGGTAATTGGGCTTACCCAATGAACAACAGGGCCTGCTTATCATACCTAGACACCATTATGTATAAACTCCTTATTGTAGTGATACTGACTACTTTTCAACAGCTCGGGGTTATCATTATAGATGTTTAGAGATGGTTGATGTAGCCATAGGACAGAGGTATTGGGTCTTACCTGGATTATTCACTACTTCTATAGGTCACCACACTGGAGGGTTTTGCCCTCTGGCCTGGCAACGTAGAATACAAACAGGATCAATTAAATACAGCGTGTAACTTTATCAAATCAATTACAGACAAGTTACTGTTAGCTGTCGTACCTGGACCGGGGTTAGTTAGGGTCATACCTGGACCGGGGTTAGTTAGGGTCATACCTGGACCGGGGTTAGTTAGGGTCATACCTGGACCGGGGTTAGTTAGGGTCATACCTGGACCGGGGTTAGTTAGGGTCATACCTGGACCGGGGTTAGTTAGGGTCATACCTGGACCGGGGTTAGTTAGGGTCAGGGTCGTACCTGGACCGGGGTTAGTTAGGGTCGTACCTGGACCAGAGCCAGCAGCAGCTTGGCGAAGTCTCCTGAGGTGTCTCCAGCCACATCCTTCTCCAGATCCTTCTTGAACACTGAGGAGATAGATGCATTTACATTACATTTACGTCATTTAGCAGACGCTCTTATTCAGAGCCACTTACAAATTGGTGCATTCACCTTATAGCCAGTGGGATAACCACTTTACAATATGTTTTTTTTTTTTTTTTTGGGGGGGGGGGGGGGCGGGGGGGGGGGGGGGGGGTGGGGGGGGTGGAAGGATTGATTAGATATATCAGATACATTCATATTACAAAGGACAACATGATACATTCAGCTACATCATCATTTTCCCACAAGCCTAAAACTCAGTGTTGTCTAAAAACGTAACGTGGTACTAGGTAAGATAGTCCTGCTGATGGCAGCTTTCAGACATAGAAATATAACATCATATATCATAACTGTAGGGTGGGTTCAGACTCACGTTCCTTGTAGACCGTCTTAATCTCAGCCAATTCTGAGGAGCTGCGAGAACAGACTATCTCTATCAGCACCTCCTCGTCCGTTCCTAGACCCTGAAGATACACAGGGATGTTACATTACCAGAACATTGTACTATAAGGTCAGGATTATATTATAATGTCTGTTTTATCTCCAGTGGCCATTATCCCACCCAACTGCACTGTGGACATGCTACCAGGAGAGGGCAGTACATACCACGACACAGCTCTCAGATGATAAAAGGGTTAGTTACTGTGGACATGCTACCAGGAGAGGGCAGTACAGGTTTGGTTGATTGAAAGGGAGTGTCCTGTACCTTAATGGATCCTTTGATCTCGGAGGCATCATACTGAGCTGTACTCTTCATCAGACCTAAGATCACAGTCTCCAGAGACCCAGACAGAGCCCCCTTCAGGGCTGTCACCAGATCCTACAGGAGAGAAACACAGAGCATGTTAGTTAGATACAGGACATGCTACAGTTAGAACAGAAGAGACAGAACATGCTAGAGTGACAGAACAGAAGAGACAGAACATGTTAGTGACAGAACAGAAGAGACAGAACATGCTAGAGTGACAGAACAGAAGAGACAGAACATGCTAGAGTGACAGAACAGAAGAGACAGATCCCTCACAGGTGTCATGACAGTTCACGTGACATTAGATCCTCAGTGAAGGGTCATCTGATTGGTTGAGCCAGTTGACCCTAGTTTATCTGATTGGTTGAGTCAGTTGACCTGTACCTTCTTGGCTCTCCTCTCATAAGCGAACGCGATCTCTCTCCTCTGGCTGTAGGTCCTCTTGGTCAGAACATTGATGATGGTCGCTTCATCCACTCCTGAGGTGACATCCCAGATATACATAACATCAGATCATTCAGGAATAACTGGACATTGTTCTAGATAACGAGACATTGTTCACTGAATAAAATGATATCAGTAAATCTGAATAGAAATGTTGCTTGATGATGAAGTCTTCAGTGGTTAGGCATTAAATGATAGTGAACTGGCTATCCATTATGCCACTCTGGTAGCTGGGTTGTATCTTCCAGTTTGTAGGGAACTAGCTTGTCTAGATGCCACTAACTGGTGATATGAGGCTGCTGCCAGTACTGAGGCATTGCCTTGGGAACATTCCCAGTTCAGTCAGGAAGCTGACTCACAAATACCACAGACTGTTGCCACATGGATGCTTTTTTACCCCGCCAGGGTCAAACCCAGCCTCTAACCCAGCCAGGATTAAACCCAGACTCTAACCAAGCCAGGATTAAACCCAGACTCTAACCAAGCCAGGATTAAACCCAGACTCTAACCCAGCCAGGATTAAACCCAGACTCTAACCCAGCCAGTATTAAACCCAGACTCTAACCCAGCCAGGATTAAACCCAGACTCTAACCCAGCCAGGATTAAACCCAGACTCTAACCCAGCCAGTATTAAACCCAGACTCTAACCCAGCCAGGATTAAACCCAGACTCTAACCCAGCCAGGATTAAACCCAGCCAGGATTAAACCCAGCCAGGATTAAACCCAGCCAGGATTAAACCCAGCCAGGATTAAACCCAGCCAGGATTAAACCCAGCTGTACAGCAGAACAAACAGACGTGTTATTCTTCATCTTATATGTGTCTCTTACCCTTCGTCTTGATAGCCGTCTCTATTCTGGCTGCATCTTTGTCTGGATCGAAGTCAGGGGCAGGAACGACAGTCGGGTATTTGGATTCACAGGACTGTAATATATAATAGTTTATATTAATATAGTTTAATATCAGGAACGACAGTCGGGTATTTGGGCTCACAGGACTGGAGATTCAGAAAACATAATTACCAGAAGATTGATGGGCACTGTTACAGGAGTAGGAGTACTATAGTGTAATTTTCTACTGGAGTTTAACACCAACATTGAAACATCAATAGCAATGCTACTTACCCCCACATTAAGAGACAGTTGTCCCAGAAACTCAGATACCAGCGCCATGTTGACTGTCCTGTAGAGGGGGATGAGAAGTGTTGATTGTTTTAGAGCCTGGTTGAGAAACCATGTAGTTTAATCTCCTGATCACCACACCTTCACTGGGAGTTGGGTAACTATGAGACGATCCAAAGGTCTTATTGGTTCTCTCAGGAGATTATTACATTCTTCTACTGACTGCAGCGTCTCTCTGAACCAATCATCTTTCTGTTGATATCTAAGGCAGCAAGCCCTCTGTCTTTTTATCAAAATGACTAACTAGCAGTAACACAGTTTATCTACTATTATTCCGTAACCCATCTGGCAGACAACCAGCCTAGACACATCCTGATGAAACACTAACTAGCACAGAGAACTAACCCTAACCCCTAACCCTACACCCTAATCCCTAACCCCCACGACGTACACCCGAACCCCGAACCACAGAACCGCAAACCCCGACGACCACACCCTGAACCCCGACGACCACCACCCGAAGCCCGAACCCCGACGACGACCACCCGAACCCCGACGACGACACCCGAACCCCGACGACGACACCCGAACCCCGACGACCACACCCGAACCCGAACCCCGACGACGACACCGAACCCGACGACGACACCCGAACCCCGACGACCACACCCAAACCCCGACGACCACACCCGAACCCCGAACCCACACCCGAACACCCGACGACCACACCCGAACCCCGACGACCACACACCCGACCCCAACACCGACACCCGAACCCCCACGACCACACCCGAACCCCGACACCCGAACCCCGACGACGACACCCGAACCCGAGACCACACCGAACCCCGAACCCCGACGACGAACACCCTAACCCCTACTACCACACCCTAACCCCTACTACCACACCCTAACCCCTACTACCACACCCGAACCCCGACGACCACCACCCGAACCCGAAGACCACACCCGAACCCTCGACGACACCACCAAACCCCTAAGACAGACACACCGGAACCCCGAACCCCACACCCGAACCCCGAACGACAACCCGAACCCCAGACGACACACCCAACCCGACGACCACACCCGAACCCCGAACGACGACACCCGAACCCGACAGCCACACCCGAACCCCGAGACCACACCCGAACCCCGACGACGACACCCGAACCCGACGACACACCCGAACCCCGACGACCACACCCGAACCCCGACGACGACACCGAACCCCGACGACGACACCCGAACCCCGACACCCACACCGAACCCGACGACGACACCGAACCCCGACGACGAACCCGAACCGACCACCCCTAACCCACACGACACCCATACCACAACCAACGACACCCGAACTACACCGACACCTAACCCGACGACACCACCCAACCCCGACTACACCCGAACCCACACGACTACACACCAACCCAACCCTACTACCAACAACCCTACCCCCACACTACCACAACCCTAACCCCTACACTAACCCTACTCTACAAACACCCAACCTCACTACAACACCCAACCCCTACACCCTAACCCTACTACTACACCTAACCCTACTACCACACAACCCTAACCCTACTACTAACTACCCACCCTAACCCACTACCACACCCTAACCCCTAACCCCTACCACCCAACCCCACTACTACACCTAACCAACCCTAACCCTACTACCACACCCTAACCCATTTGGCAGACATCCAGCACAGACACACCCTGGAGCTAGCAGCAGAGAGCTCTGTCTCAGGAAGGTAGCACGGCTGAATCACTGCCTTCTCAGGACTGTTCAGACAGAGAAAAGACTGCACCCTGAACGTATATATCTTCTACTGGACACGAAGATAAGATAAACTGATACAACGAATGACGACACTGTGAATCTAACTTGGGTTTAGTCCCCTACAAGCAAAACAAAAGCTCACACAGATAGTTTTTAATGGTAATGATAGAAATCCTTCCAAGAGCCAGATGAAGCCATTTGTTTGGTAAATCGATTGTAATGAACGTAAAGGAAGTGTCAGCTTACCTGAGTGTGCTGAAGCGAGCTGAGCTGTAGTGGTGTAGAATAGTCCAGTCTTTGTGGCTTGGGATGGGTGTGGTGCTTAAATAACTCAGGGAGGTTCTACATGTAGTTCTAGAACCTATAATAAAGCTCTCCCCTCAGTCTCCACCCACTGAGTCAGAATTTGTGTGGGAGATATGCATGCCTTAAAGTGGAAAAGACAACGTTTTAACTGCTTTGCAGATATGAAACAGACAATCATATCAGTCAAAAATATGAAATTACCAGTTTATGCTACAAAACCAACTTTATACAAAGTTTAAAAAAATAAGTTTTATTTCACTAAAAATTTCATGACGTACAGTAAGGCATTGTTGTCAGAACAGAAGGATGCAGTTCAATGCATGATTAATATAATTCACCAATACATTTCTTGGTAGTCCTACAGATATTGCTATCAGGTTGTAAATCACAGCTGGACCAAGGCGAGAGCGAACTGAGCGAATCCGGGAGAAAGAGAGCGCGCTTATTTGAAACGGAAAAGCGTCGCAGTAGCTATTGATAAAGAAGAACATCAAGACGAAGCAGCTGATTTACAAGTGGGATGCACTGCTGAGCGCTACATCCCCAGGGGTATATATATACAAAGGTATTTTGTCAAGGCTCAAACCTGACATCCCGAGGGGTTGGTGCTGATTGGACGGAGATTGTGACAGCTGGTTAAATGGTATCCCTTGTGAAGGCGAGAACAGGATGTATGTCAGGAGAAGTGCAATATTATCACAAGGAGAGTTATACTTGGAATACGGAGGAGGAATGGAGGGAAAAGGAGAGGCAGAGGAGGTCTAAGAGAGAGAGGGAGGAAGAGGGGGAGCTTGAGTCGGTTAAAAATTGCGGAAAAAAGGGAGAAGGTTTGTTAAAGAAGAATGGTAGAAAATGTAAGTAGGGTGAGTTGAAGACAGGAGGAGAAATGGAAGAGAATGAGGGTGAAGTCTTGGAGGTGGTAGGTGTGGTGAAGTATCGGAGGTGGTAGGTGTGGTGAAGTGCTCGGAGCCCGAGGCTAGCACAGAGGGTCAGGATAAAGATGAGTCTGTGACAGTAGGAGTGAAGGTTTTGGAAAAAGTGGACCCTTGCCTTTTGGCTGATCCCTTTGTGGTTTCAGGATGGGTGAAAACAGAGTTGGGTGCTGTGGAATCGGTGAGGGTAACCAGAAGTGGTCTGGTGATAATTGTTTGTGTTTCTGCTGATCAGAGGGAGAAGGCGCTCCGTGTTAAACGAATGGGGACAAGAGATGTGAACTGTTTTGCTCTCAAGAAAAGGGCTCCATTGAAAGGAGTGATTACTGGGGTAGCGGTAAATGTGAAAGCTGACCAACTGAAGGGGAAGATTCCCGGTGTTTGTGATGCTCGTCGTTTGGTGCGACGCAGACAGGGTGGCGAGAGTGGAGAAACAGAAGAGTCATTGTCTGTTCTTTTGAGTTTTGATGTAGAGTCTTTGCCCGACAAAGTGATGTTAGGATATATAAGTTATCCGGTATGAGCTTTTGTGCCATTACGTTGTTACAGGTGTCAACCTTATGGGCATGTGGCAGCAGTGTGTAGGTGGGAGGTTCTTAGGTGTGAGAAGTGTGCAGAAGGGCATGAGACAAAGGAATGTGCAGCATTGGGGAAAGTAGTGTGTGCTATTGTAGGGGTGGCCATGGGGCTGGGGATCAGAAATGTCCGGTGCGAGAGAGGCAGATTGAGGTTTCCAGGGTTAGAGCAGAAGTTGTCATATGCGGAGGCAGTGAAGGAAGTAGAGGAAGATGGGTCAAGGGGGAGGGATCCTGAGAGGAGTGGTGTGCGTTGTAGATCTGTACCAGTACAGAGGGATAAACCAACAAGTTATATATGTTTCAGTAAGATTGGATTTTAGCCATTTATAGCAATGGTTATCAACTGTACTGCAGGGATGGAACATAAGTCGCAGAAAATAGAGGTTGTGGTGGCAGCTGCAGAGAGGTATTTGGGTGGCCGAGACTTGACATCAGAAGAGTTACAGGGTGTGTTAAGTGGTGGTGTCCCATCCTTTCAGACTGTTAGCCCGAGGTAGGAATAAATAGATTTAAATAGTGGAGAATGGTATTTATTATTTTTTATTATGTTTTGTGAGTGTAGTGTTAGATGGTAGGGTATTAGTATTATTTGTATCATTATTAATAATAATATCTTATTTTTTATTTGTATTATATATATTTTTAAAGCAGAATATAAGGGAGTTATACTCCAGTCTAGTAGGTGGCGGTAATGCAACATTTATTGGATGCCAACCGCCGTTAAACCTCATCGAAGAAGAAGTCCCCATTCAGTTTACAAAACGTGGGTTGGCACCAATGATGTATATAAACCCTGTATTGCTGACGTTATGTATTGGCCATTGAGAGGCTTTGAAGCCACAGGTCGGCCATATTGGAGCAGTCTTCCATAGGAATGAATGGAATTCCATTTAAATTAATTGTTTCAAGGACAAAATTTCATGTATTTAAGTATTTTCTTGTTGTAGTGGGGATAATCAAATCAAATCAAATCCTATCGCCCACATGCGCCGAATACAACAGGTGCAGACATTACAGTGAAATGCTTACTTACAGACCTTAACCAACAGTGCATTTATTTTTAACAAAGAAGTAAAAATAAAACAATAACAAAAAAAGTGTTGAGAAAAAAAGAGCAGAAGTCAAATAAAATAACAGTAGGGAGGCTATATATACAGGGGGGTACCGTTGCAGAGTCAATGTGCGGGGGCACCGGCTAGTTGAGGTAGTTGAGGTAATATGTAAAAGAATGGGGTGGGGGGGCAGTGCAAATAGTCCGGTAGGTAATGTAATAACATTAGTACTCTACAAAAAGAATACTTTATGGAAATATATTTAAAAGTATGCATTAAGTGGCTGTAGTAAAATAAATGTGTCAAAAACTAATGTAGACATTAATAAATGCATTTCTATAGCTTCCAAAATCTTTTTTATGATTGAGTACCAAGATGGCTGCGCGGTGGCTTCAATACAGCGCCCCCTTTCAGTCATCCAGGGTTAATACACATCATTAGTTGGGACCAGCATGCAAGCTGCAGAAGGACGAGCAGGCTACAATTACCCATCGTTTATCAGTGCAATTTTGACGACCAACTAGCTAAAAAGTTTGAGAGGGTTTAGCTAATCTTTCTCTTTCTCTGGTTGTTGATCTTGTTGTTGATGATGTGCATAACTGAGGGAGAGAGAGCCTACCTTTTCATGGTTGTTTGATCAATAGGACTGTAAAGTTCCCAAATGTAAAAGGACCCCTGTAGAAATCCATCCAGGTGTATTTTGTGAATTCAAAGTGAATGATGGCAAATGGCTTATTTGCATATACAGTGCCTTGCAAAAGTATTCATCCCCCTTGGCGTTCTACCTATTTTGTTGCATTACAACCTGTAATTTAAATTGATTTTTATTTGGATTTCATGTAATGGACATACACAAAATAGTCCAAATTGGTGAAGTGAAATGAAAAAAATAACTTGTTTCAAAGAATTCTAAAGAATAAATAACGGAAAAGTGGTGCGTGCATATGGATTCACCCCCTTTGCTATGAAGCCCCTAAATAAGATCTGGTGCAACCAATTACCTTCAGAAGTCACATAATTAGTTAAATAAAATCCACCTGTGTGCAATCTAAGTGTCACATGATCTGTCACATGATCCCTCATTAAACTACAAATCAATTTATAACATTTTTGACATGCGTTTTTCTGGATTTTTTTGTTGTTATTCTGTCTCTCACTGTTCAAATAAACCTACCATTAAAATTATAGACTGATCATTTCTTTGTCAGTGGGCAAACGTACAAAATCAGCAGGGGATCAAATACTTTTTTCCCTCACTGTATATCCTTCTATTGCTACTGCTATATCATCAAATGAATTGAGGGGTATGTCTCATGATTAACAACTTTTGGATTGATTGATACAGGAACTCAAGTCCTTTTGTTCTCCCGACCTGGAATACCTCACCATCAAATGCCGACTTCATTACCTCCCAAGATCATTTTCTTTGGTTATTGTCACTGATGTGTATATTCGCCCCCAATCCGACATTGAGACGGCTCTCAAGGAAACTACACTGGACTTTATGCAAACTGGAAACCGCATATCCAGTATTTATTGTAGCTGTGGACTATAAAGGAAATCTGAGGAGAACACTCCCGAAAATCTATTAATACATATCCTGTGCTACACGCGGAGAGAACACGCTACACGCGGAGAGAACACGCTACACGCGGAGAGAACACGCTACACGCGGAGAGAACACGCTACACGCGGAGAGAACACGCTTGATCATTGTTACTCTCCCTTCCTACAAGGCCCTCCCCGCCCTCCCTTCGGCAAATCAGATCACGCCTCCATCCTGCTCCTCCCCACCCATAGGCAGAAACTTAAACAGGAAGGCCCCCTGTGGTAAGGACTGTTCAACATTGATCTGACCAATCGAAATCTATTCTTTAAGGTTTTCATCACGCAGACTGGGAAATATTCCAGGTCGCCTCTGGGAATAGTGTCAACGTATACACCGACTCAGTGACTGGGTTCTTCCGGAAGTGCATAGAGGATGCTGTTCCTACTGTAACAATTAGAACTTATCCAAACCAAAAACTGTGGATAGGTGGCAGCATTCATGCAACATTGAAAATGTGAACCACTGCATTTAACCACGGTAACTGGGAACATGGACGAGTGCAAACAGTCCAGCTATGCCCTCCGTAAGGCAATCGAACACTCTCGTTTCCGGCCCAGACGGCCAATCCCAAGCCGTGTCCTCAAAGCATGTGCAGACCAGCTGGCTGGAGTATATTACGGACATATTCAATCTCTCCCTATCCCAGTCTGTTGTGCCCACTTACTTCAAAATGTCACCCATTGTTGCCTGTACCCAAAGAAGTGAATGTAACTTAACTAAATGACTATCATAAAGTAGCACTCACTTCTGTTCATCCTGACGTAGCTTTGAGAGGCTAGTTAAGGATCATATCCTCCCCGACCGAACCTGATCCCCGGACTAATGCTCAATCACAATCACACTGCCCTATCCCACCTGGAATCAAGAATGCTGAATAACCCTCCTGTGCAACGGGTCTAGAGATAGGTGACCCCGGTGGTGGAGGTCAACACTGCCAACCGGGGCCACAGGTGCGTGCTCACCCCTGTGTCTCCCTATTCACCATGCTGCGTGCCTCCAACTTCATCATCAGTTTGCTGACGACACACAGTGTGGCCTGATTACCACAACGCAGACAGTACAGGGAGGAGGTAACACTGGCGGCAGGTGGCAGGTGACATAACCTCTCCTCAATGAACAAACAAAGGAGTGGTCGGGACACATGAGATAGCAGAGAGAGCACGTCCCCATCCACATTGACAGGGAGAGGGTCAAAAGCTTCAAGTTCCTCTGCATGCACTCTGTACTGTGCACATCACTGAGAACCTGAAATGGTCCCTTCACACCGACAGCACAATTGGACCCTTCACACCGAAGGCGTAAAAGCAGGCTGAAGAAATTCATCTTGGCCCCTAAGACCCTCACAAACCTTTACAGATGCACCATCGAGAGCATCCTGTCGGGCTGTATCACCGCATGGTACGGCAATTGCACCATCCGCAACCGCAGGGCTCTCCAGAGGGTGGTGCAGTCAGCACAAAGCATCTATCCATTTTGCTATGGGGTTTTGTACTGTTTAAATACTGTATTCTCGGCATAGCTCATGCCCTACAGGACATCTACAGCACCCGGTGTCACAGGAAGGCCAAGAAGAGCATCAACGACCTCAGCCAACCGAGCCACTGCCTGTTCACCCTGCTACCATCTAGGAGATCATCAACGACCTCAGCCACCCGAGCCACGTCCTGTTCACCCTGCTACCATCTAGAAGGCGAGGTCAGTACAGGTGCATCAAAGCTGGGACAGAGAGACTGATAAACAGCTTCTATCTTCAGGCCATCAGACTGTTAAACAGTCACCACTAGCCAGCCCGCCCTGAACCTTAGACACTGTTACTAGCCGGCTACCACCCGGTACTCTACCCTGCACATTAGAGACTGCTGCCCTATGTAGATAGTCATTGAACACTGGTCACTTTAATAATGTTTACATACTAGTGCGCTTGGCACCTACTACCATACCCCGTTCAAAGGCACTTAAATATTTTGTCTTGCCCGTTCACCCTCTGAATGGCACACATACACAATCCATGTCTCAATTGTCTCAAGGCTTAAAAATCCTTGTTTAATCTGTCTCCTCCCCTTCATCTGCACTGATTGAAGTGGATTTAACAAGTGACATCAATAAGGGATAATAGCTTTCGCCTGGATTCACCTGGTCTTCTATGTCATGGAAAGAGCGGTAGTTTTTAATGTTGTGTACACTTGGTGTATATACGGTGCCTTCTGAAAGTATTCAGACCTGTTCTTCAACATTCAATTCAGGATTCACTTCTTCTTCCCGAGTGGCGCAGTGGTCTAAGGCACTGCATCGCAGTGCTAGCTGTGCCACTAGAGATCCTGGTTCGAATCCAGTCTCTGTCGTAGCCGGCCGCGACCGGGAGACCCAGGGGGCGGCGTGCAATTGGCCCAGCGTCGTCCAGGGTAGGGGAGGGAATGGCCGGCAGGGATGTAGCTCAGTTGATAGAGCATGGCGTTTGCAACGTCAGGGTTGTGGGTTCGATTCCCACAGGGGGTATGATTTTAAAAAAAATTTATACACTAACTGTAAGTCGCTCTGGATAAGAGCGTCTGCTAAATGACCAAAATGTAAATATAAATGTTCTACATTTTTTACGCTATTCTAAAATGTATTAAATTGTTTTTTTCCCTCATCAATCTACACACAATACCCCATAATGACAAAGCGATAACAGGTTTTTTACAAATGTTTGCTAATTTATAAAAAATAAAAAACAGAAATACCTTATTTACATAAGTATTTGGACCCTTTCGAAACCCTTTGATATGAGACTCGAAATTGAGCTCAGGTGCATCCTGTTTCCATTGATCATCCTTGAGATGTTTCTACAACCCTGTGGTTGTGGGCAGTGCAGTTGCCATACCAGGCGGGGCCAAGCCACATTTCTTCAGCCTCCTGAGGCTGTTGCGCCTTCTTCACCACACTGTCTGTGTGGGTGGACCATTTCAGTTTGTTGGTGATGTGTACGCCAAGGAACGTGAAGCTTTCCACCTTCTCCACTGCGGTCCCGTCGATGTGGATAGGGGGGTGCACCCTCTGCTGTTTCCTGAAGTCCACGATCAGCTCCTTCGTTTTGTTGAGGTTGAGAGAGAGGTTATTTTCCTGGCACCACTCTTTCAGGGCCCTCACCTCCTCCCTGTAGGCGTCTCGTCGTTGTTGGTAATCAGACCTACTACTGTTGTGTCGTCTGCAAACTTGATGATTGAGTTGGAGGCATGCTTGGCCACGCAGTCATGGGTGAACAGGGAGTACAGGAGGGGGCTGAGCACACACCCTTGTGGGGCCCCAGTGTTGAGGATCAGCGAAGTGGAGATGTTGTTCCCTACCTTCACCACCTGGGGGCGGCCCGTCAGGAAGTCCAGGACCCAGTTGCACAGGGTGGGGTTCAGACCCAGGGCCTCGAGCTTAATGATGAGCTTGGAGGGTACTATGGAGTTGAATGCTGAGCTATAGTCAATGAACAGCATTCTTACATACAGTGGGGAGAACAAGTATTTGATACACTGCCGATTTTGCAAGTTTTACTACTTACAAAGCATGTAGAGGTCTGTCATTTTTATCATAGGTACACTTCAACTGTGAGAGACAGAATCTAAAAAAATCCAGAAAATCATATTGTATGATTTTTAAGTAATTAATTTGCATTTTATTGCATGATATAAGTATTTGATCACCTACCAACCAGTAAGAATTCCGGCTCTCACAGATCTGTTAGTTTTTCTTTAAGAAGCCCTCCTGTTCTCCACTCATTACCTGTATTAACTGCACCTGTTTGAACTCGTTACCTGTATAAAAGACACCTGTCCACACACTCAATCAAACAGACTCCAACCTCTCCACAATGGCCAAGACCAGAGAGCTGTGTAAGGACATCAGGGATAAAATTGTAGACCTGCACAAGGCTGGGATGGGCTACAGGACAATAGGCAAGCAGCTTGGTGAGAAGGCAACAACTGTTGGCGCAATTATTAGAAAATGGAAGAAGTTCAAGATGACGGTCAATCACCCTCGGTCTGGGGCTCCATGCAAGATCTCACCTCATGGGGCATCAATGATCATGAGGAAGGTGAGGGATCAGCCCAGAACTACACGGCAGGACCTGGTCAATGACCTGAAGAGAGCTGGGACCACAGTCTCAAAGAAAACCATTAGTAACACACTACGCCGTCATGGATTAAAATCCTGCAGCGCACGCAAGGTCCCCCTGCTCAAGCCAGCGCATGTCCAGGCCCATCTGAAGTTTGCCAATGACCATCTGAATGATCCAGAGGAGGAATGGGAGAAGGTCATGTGGTCTGATGAGACAAAAATATAGCTTTTTGGTCTAAACTCCACTCGCCGTGTTTGGAGGAAGAAGAAGGATGAGTACAACCCCAAGAACACCATCCCAACTGTGAAGCATGGAGGTGGAAACATCATTCTTTGGGGATGCTTTTCTGCAAAGGGGACAGGACGACTGCACCGTATTGAGGGGAGGATGGATGGGGCCATGTATCGCGAGATCTTGGCCAACAACCTCCTTCCCTCAGTAAGAGCATTGAAGATGGGTCGTGGCTGGGTCTTCCAGCATGACAACGACCCGAAACACACAGCCATCTCAAGGTCCTGGAGTGGCCTAGCCAGTCTCCAGACCTGAACCCAACAGAACATCTTTGGAGGGAGCTGAAAGTCCGTATTGCCCAGCGACAGCCCCAAAACCAGAAGGATCTGGAGAAGGTCTGTATGGAGGAGTGGGCCAAAATCCCTGCTGCAGTGTGTGCAAACCTGGTCAAGACCTACAGGAAACGTATGATCTCTGTAATTGCATACAAAGGTTTCTGTACCAAATATTAAGTTCAGCTTTTCTGATGTATCAAATACTTATGTCATGCAATAAAATGCAAATTAATTACTTAAAAATCATACAGTGTGATTTTCTGGATTTTTGTCACAGTTGAAGTGTACCTATGATAAAAATTACAGACCTCTACATGCTTTGTAAGTAGAAAAACCGGCAAAATCGGCAGTGTATCAAATACTTGTTTTCCCCACTGTATGTATTCCTTTTGTCTAGATGGGATAGGGTAGTGTGCAGTGCGATGGCGATTGTGTTATCCGTGGATCTGTTGGGGCAGTATGCAAATTGTTGTGGGTCTAAGGTGGCAGGTAAGGTAGAGGTGATATGATCCTTGACTAGTCTCTCAAAGCACTTCATGATGACAGAGGTGAGTGCTACGGGGCAATAGTCATTGAGTTCAGTTATCATGTACTCATATTCCATCAATATTATGTTATCAAATAAAAATCAACGTTTAGTTGGCATGTGCACAGCTTACAGTGGGGTGTATACAGGAATATGACATTGCATTGTATCGTGTACTACTGAAGTAACTATGTGTTATGTTTTCCCACATAGCGCTAACAACCCCCACAGACTCATCCCTCATGTCCCACTACTAGCTGCAGATTGGTTAAATCACATTATCTGGTGTACCAAAGACTTTTGGTATCCATTACTGGGAGTTACAGGACAGGTACTGTTTGGTGTAGCACATGCGATGCTGTCTTCGTCCTTGATTCGTGGAAACAGGAGTCTCATAAAATGTCTGGGTCCAGTTGCAGGGGGTCCGTTTTAAATGTTGTGTTATTAAAATAAATAATTGTTTTCTAAATTCAAAACAGACCCCCTACTGAGGAGAGGAGACAGGCCTGTTGATTGGATTAGAGGAGGAGAGGAGACAGGCCTGTTGATTGGATTAGAGGAGGAGAAGAGACAGACCTGTTGATTGGATTAGAGGAGGAGAGGAGACAGGCCTGTTGATTGGATTAGAGGAGGAGAGGAGACAGGCCTGTTGATTGGATTAGAGGAGGAGAGGAGACAGGCCTGTTGATTGGATTAGAGGAGGAGAAGAGACAGGCCTGTTGATTGGATGAGAGGAGGATTCTTCTGTTCTGCCTGTACATGTTTTATCATCGCCACTCCCTCTGAAAGGCTCTGTGCTCTACTGCATGTATGGCATCACTGTTCCAGGAGACTGCAGTGGCTGCTCATTGGATGATACTTCTGCCTGTACACGTCCATCTGAGTGGCACTTAGTTTCATCACAGCCTGTCAGCACCGAGGGTCCTGTGGTTTAGTTTCATCACAGCCTGTCAGCACCGAGGGTCCTGTGGTTTAGTTTCATCACAGCCTGTCAGCACCGAGGGTCCTGTGGTTTAGTTTCATCACAGCCTGTCAGCACCGAGGGTCCTGTGGTTTAGTTTCATCACAGCCTGTCAGCACCGAGGGTCCTGTGGTTTAGTTTCATCACAGCCTGTCAGCACCGAGGGTCCTGTGGTTTAGTTTCATCACAGCCTGTCAGCACCGAGGGTCCTGTGGTTTAGTTTCATCACAGCCTGTCAGCACCGAGGGTCCTGTGGTTTAGTTTCATCACAGCCTGTCAGCACCGAGGGTCCTGTGGTTTAGTTTCATCACAGCCTGTCAGCACCGAGGGTTCTGTGGTTTAGTTTCATCACAGCCTGTCAGCACCGAGGGTCCTGTGGTTTAGTTTCATCACAGCCTGTCAGCACCGAGGGTCCTGTGGTTTAGTTTCATCACAGCCTGTCAGCACCGAGGGTCCTGTGTGAATGGAGGTTCAGGCCAGACCTGTTTCTGCAGGTTTATCAGCAGGTTACACAGTGTCTGCAGCTCTAATCTCCTCACAGATCTGTCACGCTTTTATAACACGCTACTCCTCCACATTCCTCTCTCTCTCTCTCTCTCTCTCTCTCTCCCTCTCCCTCTCCCTCTCCCTCTCCCTCTCCCTCTCTCTCTCTCTCTGTCTCTCTCTCTCTGTCTCTCTCCTCTCTCTCTCTCTCTCTCTCTCTCTCTCTGTCTCTGTCTCTGTCTCTGTCTCTCTCTCTCTCTGTCTCTGTCTCTCTCTCTCTCTGTCTCTCTCTCTCTCTCTCTCTGTCTCTCTCTCTCTCTCTGCCTCTTAGTGAGAGCACTAGACATTCAGCGTGGGAATTTGCTTTTGAATGTATCTCATTGACCTCATGTCTTCTTGATGAACTGTGTGTGTATAGTTTAGCTGACGGACACTATCTGATTGGTCATAAGGCAGGGGAGCCCTTTGTGACCATCTTCAAGGCAGCGGAGGGTCGGAGGGTGGTCCGAGGGGCTTATAACCTGCAGCAACCCTACAGCAGTGTTCCCCCTCCCCCTGCCCTCGGCTCTCTACCCTGGGTACCCCTGGTCCTACACTGGACCCCACCCTGGTCCCGAGTGGAGCAGTGGTCTAAGGCACTGCATCGCAGTGCTAGTTGTGCCACTAGAGATCCTGGTTCGAGTCCAGGCTCTGTCGCAGCCGGCCGCGACAGGGAGACCCATGGGCGGCGCACAATTGGTCCAGCGTCGTCCAAGGTAGGGGAGGGTTTGGCCGGCAGGGATGTGGGTTCGTTTCCCACGGGGGGCCAGTATGAAAACAAACAAAAAAACATGTATGCATTCACTAACTGTAAGTCGCTCTGGATAAGAGCGTCTGCTAAATGACTAAAATGTGAATGTAATATAAATGTCTGGATTTGATTAGAGCTTTGATTAGAATGAAAATTCAAACATCATGCTACCTGAGCCTGATGAACCATATATTAAATACATTTTATGAGCCCTACTTTAATGACATTTAATGAGCCCAAGCCCAAAAAAGCCCAAATGATTGCGCCGTTACATAAGGCACAACAGATAAACATAAAAGCCCATAGATGTAGCTAGCTATATAAAGCCCATAGATGTAGCTAGCTATATAAAGCCCATAGATGTAGCTAGCTATATAAAGCCCATAGATGTAGCTAGCTGTATAAAGCCCATAGATGTAGCTAGCTATATAAAGCCCATAGATGTAGCTAGCTATATAAAGGCCATAGATGTATTTAGCTATATAAAGCCCATAGCTGTAGCTAGCTGTATAAAGCCCATGGATGTAGCTAGCTATATAAAGCCCATAGATGTAGCTAGCTGTATAAAGCCCATGGATGTAGCTAGCTGTATAAAGCCCATAGATGTAGCTAGCTGTAAAAAGCCCATGGATGTAGCTAGCTATATAAAGCCCATAGATGTAGCTAGCTATATAAAGCCCATAGATGTAGCTAGCTATATAAAAGCCCATATATGTAGCTGGCTATATAAAGGCCATAGATGTAGCTAGCTATATAAAGCCCATAGATGTAGCTAGCTATATAAAGCCCATAGATGTAGCTAGCTATATAAAGCCCATAGATGTAGCTAGCTATATAAAGCCCATAGATGTAGCTAGCTATATAAAGCCCATAGATGTAGCTAGCTATATAAAGCCCATAGATGTAGCTAGCTATATAAAAGCCCATAGATGTAGCTAGCTATATAAAGCCCATAGATGTAGCTAGCTGTATAAAGCCCATAGGTAGCTAGCTGTATAGCCCATAGATAGCTAGCTGTATAAAGCCCATGGATGTAGCTAGCTATATAAAGCCCATAGATGTAGCTAGCTATATAAAGCCCATAGATGTAGCTAGCTATATAAAGCCCATAGCTGTAGCTAGCTGTATAAAGCCCATAGATGTAGCTAGCTATATAAAGCCCATAGATGTAGCTAGCTATATAAAGCCCATAGATGTAGCTAGCTGTATAAAAGCCCATAGATGTAGCTAGCTATATAAAGCCCATAGATGTAGCTAGCTATATAAAGCCCATAGATGTAGCTAGCTATATAAAGCCCATAGATGTAGCTAGCTATATAAAAGCCCATAGATGTAGCTAGCTATATAAAGCCCATAGATGTAGCTAGCTATATATAGCCCATAGATGTAGCTACCAATATAAAGGCCATAGATGTAGCTAGCTATATAAAGCCCATAGATGTAGCTAGCTATATAAAAGCCCATATATTTATAGCTGGCTATATAAAGGCCATAGATGTAGCTAGCTATATAAAAGCCCATAGATGTAGCTAGCTATATAAAGCCCATATATGTAGCTAGCTATATAAAGCCCATAGATGTAGCTAGCTATATAAAGCCCATAGATGTAGCTAGCTGTATAAAGCCCATAGATGTAGCTAGCTATATAAAGCCCATAGATGTAGCTAGCTATATAAAGCCCATAGATGTAGCTAGCTATATAAGCCCATAGATGTAGCTAGCTATATAAAAGCCCATAGATGTAGCTAGCTATATAAAGCCCATAGATGTAGCTAGCTGTATAAAGCCCATAGATGTAGCTAGCTATATAAAGCCCATAGATGTAGCTAGCTATATAAAGCCCATAGATGTAGCTAGCTGTATAAAGCCCATAGATGTAGCTAGCTATATAAAGCCCATAGATGTAGCTAGCTATATAAAGCCCATAGATGTAGCTAGCTATATAAAGCCCATAGATGTAGCTAGCTATATAAAAGCCCATAGATGTAGCTAGCTATATAAAGCCCATAGATGTAGCTAGCTATATAAAGGCCATAGATGTAGCTAGCTATATAAAGCCCATAGATGTAGCTAGCTATATAACGCCCATAGATGTAGCTAGCTATATAAAGCCCATAGATGTAGCTAGCTATATAAAGCCCATAGATGTAGCTAGCTATATAAAGCCCATAGATGTAGCTAGCTATATAAAGCCCATAGATGTAGCTAGCTATATAAAGCCCATAGATGTAGCTAGCTATATAAAAGCCCATAGATGTAGCTAGCTATATAAAAGCCCATAGATGTAGCTAGCTATATAAAGCCCATAGATGTAGCTAGCTATATAAAGCCCATAGATGTAGCTAGCTATATAAAGCCCATAGATGTAGCTAGCTATATAAAGCCCATAGATGTAGCTAGCTATATAAAGCCCATAGATGTAGCTAGCTATATAAAGCCCATAGATGTAGCTAGCTATATAAACATTTACATTACATTTTTACATTTTAGTCATTTAGCAGACGCTCTTAACCAGAGCGACTTACAGGAGCAATTAGGGTTAAGTGCCTTGCTCAAGGGCATATTAACGTCATTTAGCAGACGCTCTTAGCCAGAGCGACTCACAAATTGGTGCGTTCACCCTATAGCCAGTGGGATAACCACTTTGCAATTTGGGGGGGGGGGGGGGGGGGTTAGAAGGAATACTTTAGCCTATCCCAGGTATTCCTTAAAGAGGTGGGGTTTCAAATGTCTCCGGAAGGTGGTGAGTGACCCGCTGTCCTGGCGTCGTGAGGGAGCTTGTTCCACCATTGGGGTGCCAGAGCAGCGAACAGTTTTGACTGGGCTGAGGGGGAGCTGTGCTTCCGCAGAGGAAGGGGAGCCAGCAGGCCAGAGGTGGATGAACGCAATGTCCTCGTTTGGGTGTAGGGACTGATCAGAGCCTGAAGGTACAGGGGTGCCGTTCCCCTCACTGCTCCAAAGGCAAGCACCATGGTCTTGTAGCGGATGCGAGCTTCAATTGGAAGCCAGTGGAGTGTGCGGAGGAGGGGGGTGACGTGAGAGAACTTGGGAAGGTTGAACACCAGACGGGCTGCGGCATTCTGGATGAGTTGTAGGGGTTTAATGGCACAGGCAGGGAGCCCAGCCAACAGCGAGTTGCAGTAGTCCAGACGGGAGATGACAAGTGCCTGGACCAGGACCTGCGCCGCTTCCTGTGTAAGGCAGGGTCGCACTCTCCGAATGTTGTAGAGCATGAACCTGCAGGAGCGGGTCACCGCCTTGATGTTGGCGGAGAACGACAGGGTGTTGTCCAGGGTCACGCCTAGGCTCTTCGCACTCTGGGAGGAGGACACAGCGGATTGTCTACCGTGAATGGCGAGATCATGGAACGGGCAGTCCTTCCCGGGGAGGAAGAGCAGCTCCGTCTTGCCAGGGTTCAGCTTGAGGTGGTGATCCGTCATCCATACTGATATGTCTGCCAGACATATAAAGTCCATAGATGTAGCTAGCTATATAAAGCCCATAGATGTAGCTAGCTATATAAAGCCCATAGATGTGGCAGCTATATAAGCCCATAGATGTGAGCTAGCTTATAAAGCCATAGATGTAGCTAGCTATATAAAGGCCATAGATGTAGCTAGCTATATAAAGCCCATAGATGTAGCTAGCTATATAAAGCCCATAGAT